ATGGATAAAGGGTAAGAGACCATAGAATGATACAAAGAATGAAGGGGTGGTCAAAGGAATGGAATGATGAAGTAAGGAAGGGTAGTGGCAAGAGTCAGCACGCATATAGTTCATAGACAGTGCCCCCAAGGGACGGAAGTCCCGAGTTCCGGTACGGAAGGGTGCAGAACCCTCGGAACTGAAGGTGCGAGAGCAGAGAACCGTAACAGGTACTTGTTCTTGCATTGGTTGATAGTATACTTTCTCAGCCTCTTCTTCTTAGCTCTTAGCTTTTTATTCTGTGCTTGTTATTTTGCAATACTTACAGCTAGCTTCTCTTTACACAATAGATTCTTAGAGACTAAAGTAACAGCCATACTTACTGTCCTACTCTCACACTACCAGGTTGGGGTGAAGGACAAGCTACAGTTTGCACATGAGACGTTTTGGCAGTAGAAATCCTGAGTCTTGGACCTCAAAGCCAGAATCACATTAACATGAGTGATTTGTATACTACTGGCTGTATACAGTTGTTTGATGAAGCCTCTGTGTGTTTGTATCTGATTGGACAGGCCCGTTTGTATGCTGCTTGTCTTTAAACACAGATAATGACATTGGCATAGTTTATCTTTATGGTCAAATGCTTGTTTGGTGTATAATATATTACTTTTTGATTTAATGTAACTATCCTGAGAGTTTGAGAATTTTGAAGTGCTACAGAGCATATTGTCACGTGATTAAAGTTGTCAAACCTGCTGCAGCGCACGTTTGACCATGCAAGCCTCGCACTTTCGTTTAGTGTCATATACGATCGCTGTATCTATACTTCCACCACAATCTTTTGAGCTAGAGCTATAGATTGGAAAACCATGTCTACGGAGGACGCTGTGCCACAGAGCACCTTGCCGTACCCGCCTTTACACCAGGACAAGAAATTTGTCGTGCTCTCAGACTGGTGAGTATCTATGTTGTAGGATCTATCGAAACCCATCGGAATATCGACCACACTCTTAACATCAAAATCGCGGACATGAATGAATATTTTTAAAAGAAAAGAATGTAGAGCTGATGAACGTGAATTAAGGGATGGGACGATCACTACGTATGATAGCAATGATTGTGAGTTATCTGTTTACTGTCCTTCCTTGTTTGTCGTGGCACATGGACTGACGATGATGAACTTCATTCGTGTTTGATAGATATGACGGATAACTTGGGATTCGGGAAGGAGAAGAGACGGGAGGGTAATTTGAGGATCTTGAAGAAGGAGGTTACGTTTAGGTACGCTTACTAGTAATTTTATCTAGGACTCCTATGCATTCTCTAACGTCCTTATGTCCATCTATCTGTTAGAGATGCATTCAAGGAAATGCTTGATAGCGTTGCGGAAGGACATTCTTTCGAGGAGTGTAAAGAGGTTCTTAGAAACAGTTGCGTGTCAACTTTCTATTTCTTTCGGATGGAGGAATAGCATTAATCGATGAAATGCCAATCACAGACATAAATCTTGACTCTGGGTTCAAGGACTTCTACAAATACTGCAAAGAGAACGATATTCCGATCGTTCTCGTCTCTAGGTCCGTCTCCCCATCACTTTGTCTGGAAAATTTCGGTACTTACTCTTATTGAATTGGATTGCGAATGATAGCGGCATGGAACCGATCATCCGTGCGGTATTATCAAAGCTCATCGGCGAGGAAGATGCGGCGACGATTGATATCGTATCAAACGATGTGAGGCACTTGCCTAATGGGAAGTGGGAGATACAGTATCGTCATCCTACGAGGTGTGTGCTTCACGCGCATATATGTTGGTTTTTTGTCTTTGCCGACCTTTTCGGTATTAGTGGATATGGACATGACAAGTCGCAAGCCATCTTGCCATACGGGAAGCTAGCTAACCCGCCAACGTTATTCTTCTTCGGCGATGGTGTCTCGGGTAAGTCGCTCCGTTCGCCTTTTTACAATAGGCAATATGAATGGAATGCATATATTGACACGCGCATATAGACATGTCCGCCGCACGTCATGCCGATGTCCTCTTCGTGAAGCTCAAAGGCGATAACGAGAACGATTTGCACGAGTACTGCAAGGCCGAGGGTATCCCGCACGTTCTCTTTACGAACTTCTCGAACGCATTAGAGAAGGTGAAAACGATCGTATCCGGTGAGAAGACGAAAGAGGAGGTGTTGAAGGATGGAGTTTGGTTGGCTGCTTGATTTGTTCCGCTGGTGATTAGATAAATACCAGTTTGGTGATGAATGTTTCGGTCATTTGACTGTAGACGGACGATTAGTATACCTTTGTAGACGCGTTGTTGAAATGTAAAGACGTAGAAATGTGTATCTGTGCCACTCTTATCGGGTTTCAGCTTATGGTCTTGCCGCCGTTGCCGGTTATGAGTAAAGTGCCACGCGGCGTTGGATTCCGCTTTTTTTTTTTTTTGCTCACGCGCCACCTTCTGTACCGCCTCAATTCAGTTGCAGCAAGCACATGCGCGCGTTTTTCTTAACAGTTCTCACACACAACGAGTCGACACGATTGTCAACGTCACTGAGGATGATGTCGCTCTTGCTCTAGAGAACTAAGCTGTACGAGGCTGCAAGATCACTGTCCACTCATCGAGGAAGCTTCACTCTACTGCTGCTTCTAATTAGCGCGTCGCGTCGCGACGCGTCAATACCACCTTTTTTATACGGAACCTTTTTTTGACAAGGTTCACAGTTAGCCGACAGCTCCACCGTGCTGACATTGACCCTTGCCGTCATCATCGCAACTATTGCACTAGTATCCTTTTCCGTTGTCCCGACTTCCGGAACATTGAGACTTGTCCTTGGTGCGCACAGCCTACCTGAACTTGTCCTCGCTCCAAACTCGAGCAGTCTTCTCGGGCCGGTTACGAGAAACGTGAGACCTGTTGAGGGCCTTGAGGTGTATCCTGGATCCCTAGTATAAGAGCGCTCTATCTCTGAGCTTCTACATCTGTGGGAGCTACCTGCGCCGCAAAAATCTGTTGAACGAGCGATTGCGCGCCTCCTGGTCCGAGTATTCCCCATCTGTCGTAACAAATTTCGTAACGGATCTGGAGGCACATTATGCGCTTTTCCTTGTGGCCGCGCGCTTCCAAAGATAGGAAGCGCTACCGAAGGAAAGGAGGGGGTGGAGGCGGACGCGGTGGAAGCAGCGGTGGAGAAAGTAGCGGCGGGAGTCGTGGAGGGAGCAGCGGCGGGTCATCTTCAGGTGCTTCAAGTGGGACGCGGTCATCTGTTCCTCTTGGAGCTGGGTCGAGTACGGGCGGAAGGACGTCCGCGACGACGTATGGAAACGGAGGAGGGAGTGTGCGTACGATTCCGAGCGGTCAGTTGTTTGCGGGTAGGAGTCAAGGTGGAGGGACGAGAGGGCAAGTTTTCGGGACGCAGTGAGTGATTTCCATAGGTTTGGGCATCCTTTTTAAATTTTGTTGTTCAAATGATTTTGTGTTTGTTTAGGACGTACGGGAGTGGGTACCCGGGCGTCGCTTCGAGAGGTGTAAACAACCTTGGATTCCCGTTTTACTTCTGGCCTGTCGTGTGGGGTTCGGCTGGAGCTGGTAGTGTTGCATATCTGCATGATTCCGAGGTATAGGACTTCCTTTTTACACTATCTATCAAAATAATTCCTGAAACGTTGGAATTTATGCAGTATGGCGATCCAAACAACAGCTCAAGACCAGGCGGACCACTCAACACCATCGCCTACTCTTCCTCTACAGGAAACACAACTGTACACATAATGGCAGATAATTCAACAAGCATCGCCCTTCGCACCGCAATCGCATCCAACTGCTCCACAGTCCTAGCCTCAAACAGCACTGGATCTCAACCTGAACTCGCGTTCGACCAAACGAATTCATCCATGCCGAAACCTGAACAAGCCATCCAGTATTATCGAGCGAGTAGTGTCGTTCTTACCCTGGATGGGTACAATGATACGACGGCGCTCAACGGATCGGCGGGGGCGAATGATTTGCATACGCCGTTACCTTCGTGGGTGAACACGACTTTCTTGAGTTGTGTGAATGAGACGATTGGTGCGGCTGCTCCGCTTGTTGATGGGGACGTCACGACGTACGGATCGGTTTCGGTGTACAATATGGGAGTGTTGGGACTTGCATGGTTGGTGATGATTCTGTTTCAACAAGTCTTGTGAGACCTGTGCAGGTTCCTGGTCTCCATAACTTGTGCTACTCGTCCAGAAAGGGGACGTTAACTTTCGGCTGTTCTTCAAGTTCGCCTTACTCGTATACCCTATAAACGATTCCTTTTCGTTCCTTCTTTCTTTATAGTGTAATTCACGCCTGGGTTTTTACTTTGTTCTTTATGTACTGTGATCCTTCATAGGTGCATGTAATGCAAAAGGAGTTTTTCACGTTCTTGGAGATGTTGCTTTGCACATGATTTTACCTGCACTGCCTGTTGTTTCGCCATTACGCCACTATGTTTTCTACTTGCTGTGTATACCTGTATCTCTTATACCATCATTCCCACTCAAGGCGCTAGTATAACTCGAACATCATGTTCAGTTCTAGTGATCTGGTATCATTTTCCTGCATAATTCGTTTCTTTCCCTTTACTGACGCTCCGTTGGTTTCACGGTTTTCATAGGATTGCTCTGCCGAGCCTTGATCACTAGGAACTCACACGGATGCGGCGGATCATGACGCTATGGAGACAACATGATCCTGTGCTCCCAGCGCCACGAGGAATTCAATTTTGATATCGACGACGTTCAAGGACTCCAAGACTGTGACTCGGTATGACTAGTCATCGGAGGACTGTCGCCGCTTATACTGTTGTACTGTGACTACTGGTTTGGGGACGACATATGCTTGATCCGTTGATCGGCACGTGCGTACTTTCTGCTTCTTGACTTGACTTCTCATATTCACATGCAGACGTAGCCTATCTCCCGCTGAATTCAAGTTATGAGCACTTTTCTGCTGGGTTAGAACATCCCTGCAGCAGATCTCAGGAGGTCGGCTTAAATTATTAGTAAAGGGTCACTATGTATGTGGGTCCATTGTGGGACACCGTGGGATCCGCTTCGCCAAGACTCGCCTTCCGGCTCCATCATTGAAACCCGCCTGTACCTCATGTCAGGTGAATCGCCTATGCACTGCCTTGTGCTGTTATATATAATACGATGAAAGTGGTGAAAAATGTATTTGTAGGCGGGTATATCTGGAACAACTGGTGTGGAACATATTAAACCTACCGCTACCCTCCTTCCTTGGAATTCTACACCACGACTCATACTGGCTTAACGACATAACGCCATAAGACGGGATGTTTATTCCCTTTATCTCACGACTTTCTGGACGAAGTACGAAATATCGAAGAGCAGGTGGGGGTGGTGGGGGTGGCGGCGGCGGCGGACGAGGGGGTGGAGGAGGAGGTAGTAGTGGAGGTGGCAGTCGAGGAGGGGGTAGCAGCAGTGGGGGAAGCCGAGGTGGAGGCAGCAGTAGTGGGGGGAGCCGAGGTGGAGGAAGTAGCGGAGGAAGTAGCGGAGGCAGCAGCGGAGGTAGTCGAGGCGGAAGTGGCGGAGCCGGCGGGGGGACACCGCCACGTACGCCTGTTTCTATCGGTTCCGGCTCGGCTTCGGGTGGACGAACGTCCGCAACTTCGTATGGGAACGGAGGTGGGAAGGTCAACACTATTCCGTCTGGTCAGCCGTTCTCAGGTCGAACGCAAGGTGGAGGGGCACGAGGTGATATTTACGGATCAAGGTAAGGATTAGCTGTGCCATGCTTTGTAGAAGTGGTAGTAATCAGTTAATTTGTTTGTAGGACTTACGGGAGTGGATATCCTGGTGTATCTTCCCGAGGTGTTAATAACCTCAATTTCCCGTTTTACTTCTGGCCTGTGGTCTGGGGATCTGCGGGTGCCGGTGGTGTCGCATACTTGCATGACTCAGAGGTACGAGTATTACCTCCGCGCTACTCAAACCACAACCTGATATGATCAAATTTCTCTAGTATGGTGAACCAAACAATAGTACGAGACCTGGTGGCCCACTCAGCGTCGTTCCCTACTCTTCCTCGACTGGAAACACAACTGTATTCGTCATCGCAGATAACTCAACAAGCGTCGCACTCCGAACCGCCATCACGACCAATTGCTCCACCTCCCTCGCTTCAAATAGCACAGGAAGCCAACTTTTACTTCAGTTCGACCCCACGAATAGCTCGATGCCCAAGCCGGAACAAGCGATTCAGTATTATCGCGCAAGCAGCATCGTACTTACACTTGAAGGGTATAACGACACGACGGCACTGAATGCGTCGGCTGGTCCAAATGACACGCATACTCCCCTTCCTTCCTGGGTGAACACCACATATTTGGATTGCGTCAACCAGACTATCGGAGTGGCAGCACCGCTTGTCGATGGCGCTGTGCCATTGCGCGATATCGGAGCTCTGCATTTTATTTGGCTTCTGCCGGTGATTATGTTGCAGCTGTTCCTCTAAGGAACATGAGGCTGGAGCACGGTGGTATCTAACGGTGGTATCTAGCTTGATGTCATACCATTCGTCCTACAAGTCGACGCAACTACACTTGCGCATATATTCACCAGCTATTCGTCCTCGCGAGTCGTTTTATGATTTTCCGTTGTTACGTATTTTGATGATTGCTAACGTTTGACTTCGAGAATGGGTCCTGGCTGGCTAGGTTAATCCGTAATTGTATATTTTAATACTACGCTTCAGTATTACTCGTCTAGTCATAGTATTTTGTAATATGTTTTGTGGAATGTACTATTTGGCAACATTGCATGTTGTCATTTTTAGCTTTTGCTCATTGAATGGTATGAATATAGAATCTCACAACGATTGTGGAACATACGGTGTATGTGTGGGTTCGATATTTTTTCTCTCATTGGATATGTTCGGTGTCGTCGGCGGTGAAGTGAATAAAGCCTTCTGCCATGCCAAGATTACATTTCTTCTCATCACGGGGCCTATAAGCAGATAATAAGAAAAAAAATACAAATAAGAAAATTAGTGGCTCACGCGTAAAACGCCTGGAATGGGTCGCGAAGTGTCAATATTGTTTTTATTGTTATCTTTTTGGCCTCCGGAGTTCGGTCAGGATGCGTAACACTGGCACTAGGCCTGGGCTGGAAAACTCGTAGCGTGATGCGCCTTGAGCGGATGGGTTGACCAGCCACCTATTTCTCGCTGTTTATTCAGATAAGTGGATGGGTTGCTACGAGAGGCCCAAGCAGCGCGTGCGGAGATATCCTTTTGTTCCTATGCTGGTTTAAAGAGCGGCTATCCTGAGCGTCTTTTCAGTAACTAAATCGCGAACTCCTCTCTCTGAACACCTCTATCGTGCTATACCCGGTTACTCTTACCAATACCGTCGACATGAAGCCAACAACAATTTTGCAAAAACTACAATTACTTCGCCCTCCGAAGCGGGAGGACGTGGACTGGGACCACTGTCTACCCGTCGAAGTCCTCGAACAGATCTTTGGTTACCTTCTTGACGAACGTGATGCCTGCCCAACGCGTGTTATGTTCATCAGAGGTACCTTCCAGCCGACGCTCCGCGCTGCTGCACTAGTCTGTCGAGGGTGGCATGACGTCGTGACGAAACATCTATACAACGAGATTTACCTCTCGTCGACGAAGGCTTTGGAACTCCTCACCGATACACTGGTGAAGTACAAGTATCTTCGGCCCCTCGTGCACCACTTCCATTTTAGCAGCAAAGTGTATGCGTCGGGAAATGCACAGATGTTGTATACAGCGATGGATATATATAGCTTACGGAAGATTCATGAGATATGTCCGAATCTGAAGCTTCTTGTTAAGGCGAAGCCATGGATGAAGGCCTTGCCCGCGGACGATGACCTCGCGTTTCGCGCTCTCAAGTTCGATCGCGCGCAGATTGATAAGCTGACGCATTTGGAGTTAGCTATGCCGAATGGTGCGATTTTCGGAGGGAGAATGGGATTTTCGTCGTCCATCGAGTTCCCAGCGCTACAGGAATTGTACATCACAGAATCCTGGAGGAATTATTACGACGACACGGACTTGAACACTCCACAGTGGTTCCGAATGCCACAACTTCGTCGCTTAAGTCTCTTGGGTGTTAAAGTGCATAAATGGCAAACACTTACCTTCCCTGAACATTCACCGCTTATCAATACCATCGAGTTCTTGAAAGGGGATTACGAGAACGTGACGAACTTCTTCGATCCATTGACGAGCCCACTCCTTCCGTATAGGAAGACGCTCGAGTCGTTGACGATTACTGCGAAGCAGGTTACTGAAGTCACATTTCCCAAGACCTTCAGATGGATTGAACTTCTTGATCCATACATACAAAGCGAGTCAAAATGGTCACTTGCGTTCCTCGAGAACCTCGTCGAGCTTTGTCTTCCGTTTAGGAGTTTCGCGAGGATAGAGATAACAAGCTACCCTCCGCACCTTAAGGAACTGGTCCTCTCCGGATACCTATGGGAACTCTTCGAAGAGGACACGGACGACATAAAATGTGGAGGTGATAACCTAGAGAAACTTGTTAAAGTTAGACAGGCAGGGCGTTACTTAAGGGAATTGAAGCGTATACGGGTCCTGGTGCGCGATGTGGAAACGAGGAGGTCGTATGTGCAGCTGAGAGACCAGCTTCCTGGTGTCGAGTTGAAGTTGGGAACTGGCCGTCTTTATGATCTTAGTGAGTTGTCCCTTTTTCCAATGCTGCTTTCACATTTGGGATGGTTTCTGACGTGGACATTAACAATAGAGGAAATAAGGTCGGACCTGATCGATATAGGAAAGAAAAAGATCCCGTTCTTGAGGCCTTGAGGATAACTTCAAGAAGCGGAACGAGAATGTGGTTTGCAGGACGTGGTCCACTCGGACTTTTATTCATATTATCTATATTTTATCAGTATACGAATAGTAGCCATACGAAAGCGGATGATGCTCACCATGACTAATGTATATAAAGAAACATTATTTCTATGGTGAGTCGTCCTTGAGGCGAGACCAATATCGCTCTTCTAGACAGTATAGAATGAAGTCTACCTTTAATTTGCGGCGAGTTTTCAGAATCGATCCCTTGTTCTCAGCATTGGCATATATGAGCCTTATAAAGAACAAGTTAGTTCAAGATTGTGTAGTACAATCGCCTCATAACGAGACAAATAACCATTTAACTCGGCGCTGGTTTCGACAGTAAAAAGAGATATGGACGCATGGCATAGCATTGACATATTCGCAATAAAATCATACAAACGTGCGCGCATACGACCCATTAAGCAAACATTCCAACTGCACCCCCAACACTTAAGCAATGAGCGTCGACGCAGTCGCAGAATCATATTTGAAGGTGGGCGCAATTTGCTGCCTCGTCTTGTAGTATCGTGCCAGACGGTGGATACGCGACTCGATGAGAATGAGGCGGAACTTCGAGTCTTTGTCCTTGCGGTTTGTCTCGAGGTGCTTGCGGACGGCGACCGCCTTTTTGACGAGGTGCCAGAGGTCCTCTGGGATGGCTGGTGCCAGGCCTATCCCCAAACAAAAGGTATGCGATAAACGCATAAAATATACAACATAAAGAAGAGATTGTATGCCTTGCGTTTAATCAATGAACAATAAGGAAAATATCCAGAAACGCACCGTTCGATTTGAGGATACGGAGAATCTTGTTACCAGTGACGAAGCGAACTTGGGGAATGCCGTGCGAGTCACGGAGGAGCACACCGATTTGCGATGGTGTCATGCCTTTGCGAGCAAGCTTGCAGATGTGCTCGACGACCTCTTCGGGAGTAGTTTTAAGCCATGAAGGTGGAGTGCGGCGGTAGGGAAGGGCAGAGGACGCTGAATACAACAATAAGTGAGTTCGCGAATCTCATACCAATGTATGACTACGTACAAATGCCCTTTCCGGGAGCGTGCATACGACCCATGATGAATAGTGCTTTTTATGAACGTCGAGGACAACGAACGGGTGTCTTGAGGAGGCCAGAACAGACAGGTTCAGAGGTCAAGGCGGGAACGAGGGCGAAAAGCGTGAGAATCAAAACTATACAGCATGTACTACCAAATACGGCAATGTATTCGAAAAGTCGCGAGTAGTCTTGTGCGCACATATCGAAACGTCGAGTACCTCAAGACACCACCGGCCATGAAGTTCAACATCGCCAACCCGGCGACGGGCCAGCAAAAGACAATCGACCTCGACGATGAACGTCGTTACCGTGTTTTCTACGACAAGCGGATGTCGCAGGAGGTTCCAGGCGACTCTCTCGGGGACGAATTCAAGGGCTATATCTTTCGCATTGCTGGCGGCAATGACAAGCAGGGTTTCCCAATGAAACAGGGTGTCCTTGTTCCTCACCGTGTCCGTCTCTTGCTCTCTGCTGGTCACTCGTGCTATCGCCCGCGTCGTACTGGTGAACGCGCCCGCAAGTCGGTTCGCGGATGCATAGTCGGTCCCGATATTGCTGTTCTCGCTCTGGTTGTCGTGAAGCAGGGTGAATCAGAGATTCCTGGCCTCACCGATCAGGTCCTGCCTAAGCGCTTGGGTCCTAAGCGTGCAACGAAGATCCGCCGATTCTTCAACCTTACCAAGGATGACGATGTTAGGAAGTACGTCGTCCGTCGTGAAGTTGCCCGCAAGAGCAACCCAGAGAAGAAATACACGAAAGCGTAAGTTCGCTAATTGCTATCTTTTGCGTTCCGCGATTTTAAACATTGCTATGTAGACCCAAAATCCAACGCCTTGTTACACCTCAGCGCCTCCAACGTCGCCGTCACCTCCGCTCCCTCAAGCGCCGCCGTATCGAACGTCAAAAGGAGCAGAAGTCCGAATACGAGTAAATTATTTTACTTGACATTTAATTAGAAATCGCGTTCTGACATATTATCCAGTGCACTTCTTGCGAAGCGCCTCGCAGAACGCAAAGAAAAGGCCGCTGCAATCAAGGCTTCACACAAGAAGTATGTTTTTCAATATTTCCTGATATACGTCTCATTTAATAATTACGCTTTCAAAACGCTTAAGGGCTGCCGCATGATGTTTCCATTACAACCTTCCTCATCCTTCCGTGACCTGACATGTTCTGTCCAAGCTGTTCTGAAAAGCATAGCTCTCCGCTTATGGTCATATGGTCTTCATTATTCGTACTGTCCTGCAATCTGCATGATTACCTACCTCCTGTATGTATGGTATGAATGAAATATCTGTATGTGCCGTAAGAAAGGAGTGTATAGCAAGAACGAGTTTCATTGAGGGTACTTGAATATTCGTACTGTCCTACAATCTGCATGGTTGCCTACCTCCTGTATGTTTGGTATGAATGACACATCTGTATGTACCGTAAGAGAGGTAAATGGCCAGGACACAAATTTCACGGGGAGTAAGCGAATAACATCGGAGTGAAGTAATCACAGAAAGCGGATCTTGCCTGAGACTGCTATGTTCCACAACATAGTTAGGACTAAGAATCTGCTGGCTAAATGAGTCAAGACATCATGAGTTGAACAATTGTATAAATAGTGACAAGAAAACAAAGCAAACATTAGAATCTAGAAAGTTGCATATTCTTGGCCTGACTTTTGAATGCTTTTTACACTGTATTACACCATTTATCTGTATAATGTCTCTAATCCATAGCTGAGCTGATGTCATATTTCTGTTATGGTTCTCCACTCTCATACCTTCAGTTCCAAGGGTTCCACACCCTTCTGTACCAGAACTCGGGACTTCTGTCCCTCAGGGGTGCTGTCTATAGACTATATGTATGCTGACTCTTACTACTACCCTTCCTTACTTTATCATTCCATTCCTTTGACTACCCCTTCATTCTTTGTTCATTCTATAGTCTCTTACCCTTTGTCTATCCCTTCATTCTTTGTACCTTTATCTTTGACCTTCCTTTCTTTCATTCTTTGTAGCTTATCATTCTTAGTGGCTCATACTCTCTGAGTACTCTTGTGTAGTTTAGTATATATAGGTGTACAAGATCAGACTGGTCCTGTAGTCTTAATCTTGTCTACTCTAGGTAGTCCTGTACTCTTAGACTCACTCTATATACTCTACTCTTGTCTTACTCTCTCTGTTAGTAACAGTATAGAGGGGACCTGAAGGCTCAGCAAGGGGACCCAGGCTACAACTATCCTACACAACAGAAATACAGAATGTGAGTACTGGAACATAGTTGGAACTTGTAGAACAGGCAGAGAGAGAGAGTGAGACAAGAGTAGAGTATATAGAGTGAGCCTAAGAGTACAGGACTACCTGGAGTAGACAAGATCAAGACTACAGGACTAGTCTGATCTCATACACTTATATATACTAAACTACACAAGAGCACCTAGGGAGTATGAGCCACTAAGAATGATAAGCCATGAAGAATGAAAGAAAGGGGAGGTCAAAGATAAAGGTACAAAGAATGAAGGGATGGACAAAGGGTAAGAGACTATAGAATGAACAAAGAATGAAGGGGTAGTCAAAGGAATGGAATAATGAAGTAAGGAAGAGTAGTAGTAAGAGTCAGTATACATATAGTTTATAGACAGTACCCCTGAGGGACAGAAGTCTCAAGTTCTGGTACAGAAGGGTGTAGAACCCTCAGAACTGAAGGTATGAGAGTAGAGAACTGTAACATCACCCCCCCTCTAAAACCAATCATTCTGATTAGTAAACATTAGGCTTGGTTAGTAGTTCAGGTATAGGTTGAAACAGTAGGGTTTGGAAATCTGTAAGGTAGAGTTGATGTAGAGCACCCAGATGAAGTTGATAAAAGTCTTGGATTACCTTAGCAGTATGGGTGAGATTCTCAGTAGGTTCCCAAGTACATTCTTCAACTGAGTATCCCTTCTAGTAGATAAGGAACTTGAGCTTTCTATGTACTAGCTTAGTATTTACTACATACTCTACTTTGTATTCTGGTTCAGAACTAATAAGTTCTGGTAGAGATGGTAGGGGTCTTTGTTATGAAGGAAAACTCAGATTGTAGTACTAAGACAGTAGAACCTTGTTAAACACTGAGTGTATACACTTCTATGTTGTTAGAAGTTAGAGTTTGTAGGTAGAGACACTGACCTTCTTTTTAATAACAAAGGGTCTGAAGTGCTTGTTGTCCAACTTCTTCATTAAACAATCTATAGTCAGGTTAGTAGCTTCTAGCATAACTTTGTTACTAGGCTAGTAATCCTCAGTTACAGACCTCTTCCAATCATAGTTCTACTTTATGACCTGTACTACCTTTTCTAAAAGAGCTTGTGTGTCCTCCCTAGTTCTGTGTATCCATTCTACAAAGTCTGTTATAGATTCAGAACTACTGTTCTGGTTCAGAACTGTCCCCTAGTACAGATGTCTCTCATGATTGAGGAAGAACAGGGACTGTCCTATTATAGAGTGTTACTAGTTGTTATACACAAATTCTGTTAGAGCTAACTATTCAGACCAATCTGATTACTAATGATTGATGAACATCTAGAGGTAGAGTTTGATCTTCTGATTGACTTACTCAGTTTGACTGTCAGTCTGTAAGTGATAAGTAGTAGAAGGGTTCCTTTGAATTCTAAGAAGCACATACAAGTCTTACATGAATTTCAACTTGAATTATAGTCTGTAATCATGAATAAGCTTCTAAGGGAGTCTGTACAACTAGAAGACATAATCCTGATAAATACACACTATACCTTTAGAAGTGAGTTCTGTTCAGGTCAGAACTGTATAGACTTGCTTAGAGAATTGGTTGACAATCATACAGATAGTGTTGTAACCCTAAGACTCAGGTAGCTTACTGATCAGGTCTACTAAGACTTCTTCCTAAGAGTGATTCAGAATCCAATACAGATGTAGGGGAGTCTAAACTCTTGTCTAGTAAGCCTTAGTCTGTTAGTACATATTGTAACTAGTTACATACTTTAGAATTTCCCTCTACATTCTAGGCTACTAGTAGTTCTAAGTAATGAGTTCCTGTGTTTTGTGTTAGTCTAAATGTTCTACAGTCAGATTGTCATAATGAGCTCAGACAATGTCCTCCTACAGCTTCTAATCCTTTAGAATATATAGTCAGCCTTTCTAGTAAACCTGTCCATCCTTATCCTCCTCCCAATCCCTAGCCTACTTCTCTAACTACTTTACTATAACCTAGTTATACATGTGTCTCAGAGCTTACTATATGTAGGTAACAAAGTCAACATTCTTGGATTCAAGTTGGATCTCTTAGATTGTCTTAGACACAAAACAGGAATTGTTTAGGAGAACAAGATTTTTGTTATCATTCTCTCTCCTTTTGTGACCTACTTGTCTTAAGAGTAAATCAGCTTTTGTCATTTACATTCTAAGTTTGTAGGTTAGTACAAAGTCATAGTTCTACAGTTCTAACATTTAGTAGGCTTGACAGTGGTTGAGCTTCTGAGGTGCTTGGAAGTACTAGAGATTAAAGTGATTACTTCAAATCTCAAACTTCTGTACAGTACTAAGGAGATATTAATACTACTCCTTTAGAGAATAGACAATTGTAAGGAGTTCCTTATTATAGATAAGATAGTTCTGTTCTGTTACAGAGAGGGATTCTAATCAGAACACTATTGGACACTACTTTCTATTAATAAACTAGAACAGTACTACTCTATTTGTAAAGTTGGAAGAGTTGGCTTTGACTCAGAACTTGTCCACAACTGTTAAAACTACTAATACAGGCTTGCTAGTAATAGTCTACTTGAGAGACTTGAATGTAGACTACTACTGATCATTCTATTACTAAGGAACATCTTTGCTAGTGAGATTGTGAAGGGGCTGAGTAATAGTACTAAAGTCTTAAATAAAGTGTTAGTAGTAGTTTACAAACCTAAGGAATACTTGGACCTGTTTCAGGTTCTGAGGTTGTAGCCAGTTCTGAACTGTAGTTACCTTTGCTAGATCCATGTGGACCTCTCCTCCACTAATTACAAAGCTTAAATAATCTACTGACTCCTGTACAAAAGAGTACTTTACTTCTTAGAGAAACAGTTTATTATTTTGGAGCTGTTGTAAAACTGCTTAGATTAGTTAGTAATAGTGTTTGACTGTCTAGGTGAAGATTAGAATGTTGTCCAGATACACACCAACATGCTCTGAGTCAATCAGATCTGTAAGGATGTGATTCATGAATAACTAGAATGTTACAAGTAAGTTAGTTAGTCTGAAGAACATTATAGTCAGTTTGTACAATCTGTAATTAGTTTAAAATACAGTCTTCTACTCATCTCTGTCTTGGATCCAAATATTATTGTATCCCTATTGAATGTCCAACTTAGTGAAAACCTTAAATGTATACATCTTATTAATGAGCTCCTGAATCAGAGGGAGTAGATACTTGTTTTTAACAGTACTCTTATTAAGACAATAATAATCCTAGACTAGGTAGAGCTTTCTATCTTTCTTTTTGACAAAGAAGAAAGGAGAGACTATAAAGGACTTTGAGGGTCAGATCTGGCTGTTCCAAAGATTTTCCTAAAGGAACTTGTTGAGCACCTCCTACTTGTCTCTGTTGAGTAGGTAGACCTTACAATCCTTAGGTTGGAAACCTTTAGTCAATTCAATTGTATAGTCTTAGAGACAGTGTTTAGAAAGCTGGTTAAATTCCTCTTTACTAAAGACTTCAGGGAACTCTTAGACAAAATCTAGTAGGCTGAGTCTATGTGTATTCTAGAGTAGAGTCATTCTGAGAGGGTTCCAGACTAGTTCTATTACAAACATCCTTCAGATTAACTCTGTTCTACCTTGACTAGAATATGTATCCACATATCTATCTCAGTTAAAGAAGAACAACTAGTCACCTTCATTAGAACTGTTAGTAACATTAGAAGTGTCTGTATCTACT